GCGAACGCGGGTCGCGGCGGGAGGCGCCGCCATGGAGCGGCAGCTGCTCGCGCAGGAGCAGCGTCTCAGCGGCACCGGTGCGTGGACACCAGGGTCCCTTAGCACCCTCAGGAGCAACCTGAGGGAGCTTCCAAACCCGCTGTCTAGTCCTAATGTCTCCGGTGGGAAGCGCGCAGCCTCCTCCGCTCTTGCTCGCATCCCAGCCCCACCATGGCCGTCTCTCCCCTTCCCTCCTCAGGCCTGGCCGTTGCGACGCGACGGCCCAGCTACGGCAAAGAGCAGCAGGTGAAATCCATCCTGCGGGAGCTGCTCGTCTACATCGTCTTCCTCACGGACCTCTGCATCCGTGAGTTGGCCACCGAGTTGGGGGGCTCCAAGCTACAAGTCATGAACCGGCAGCCTCATTAACTGCCTCTATGTCCTCCAGTGCACAACAGTGGTGAGGGACAAGGGTAGAGTTAAGTTTCACTTTTCAGTCCAAATCGCCATTGCTTTTAAGTCCAAATTGCTCTGCCTGTGTTTGTTTTCTAGCAGTCTGATCATTAATGGTGTTTGAAGAAGGGGTAAGGTGCTCAGAAGCTGCTGCCATCCCTTATTTTGGCTTACGAGCTCCCCCGCTCTTTCCCCTCAGTGACATTCGGGATGGTCAGCACGGACATGTACTACCTGAACAGGGTGATGTCGCATCTTTTCCTGGAAACCCCTTCCTCCGAGGCGGATGGGGTTACATTCAGGAGCATTGGCAGCATAGCCGACTTCTGGAAGGTGAGGCTTTGAAAATCTGTAAAAAAAAACCCAAAATGAGGTCAAATAGTAATATTGACAATTTTGATGGAGCAGCTGAATAAACCGAGGAAATTTTTGTGTTGATTAACTGCTGCATTATATTCACTCTGTTAGACTTTAACAAAGCAGAAAAATTGGGCCCTTTCATTCAGTTCTTTTCATTTTTGGTTGTTAAAAAATGCCGATTTTTATAAGCTGTGTGATGCTAGGAGAACCTACTATCTTGGTTTATCTGGTTTGCTATTAGCTTTATAATCACACTTCCATGATGGTTGCAAACTAGATATCTCTATTTTTACTAATAGATGAAGGACTCCTCAGAATGACTGGTATTGCCCAGCTGACATGGGAAAATAATTTTTTTCCTCACAGTTTTTCTTAAAAAGGGAAATTCCTAGTCCTAACAACTCACTTGGAGGATCCGTATTCTCTCTTATTATTATGTCTGTCCTGTGGACTATTGCTAGTCTATAAAATAGTGAGTCCTTGGTATACGATATACATCCTCATGTACTAGAAGCGATTGTAATACACGATCAGGTGGTGCCAAACCACAGGGGCATGCTGTTTTATGTAACATTATCCCCAAGTGTAATGCTCTAGGAAACTGCTAGATCTATGTCTGCATCTAAGGAACACTGAGGAAGGAGGAAAATTTTCTCTTCCCTCAGAAACAAATATATCTTACTTCAGATTCAGATGACCAAAATGCAATCAGAAATATGTATCTCAAAACAGGTCTTCAGAGAGTATGCTAAAGAACAGGTTGTGTCAGAAGAACATCAACTGCTTAGAATTTTAAACAAATACGTTTAAATGCAAAGACAGATGTGTTTTCAAAGAAAGTCCAGGTATCTGCTGAACAGTTCCATTGCAAGTCTCTGGTAGAACTGCATATGGAACAGAACTGACTCATAAAAAAAAAAAGGAAGCAAATATACCTTTTAAATAAGACAGTGTATCAGTGGTCAGTCCTTGTGTCCTAGCCTCACTCTCCAGCCATAGGTGACCTGAAAATCCTGCAGAGACTTGCGTGTGAAGGAGCTGGATAAGAGCAATATTTTCATCTTTGAATCTTAACCTCTCTGGCTTATACAGTTTGCAGAAGGTCCCCTCTTGGATGGACTCTACTGGGACAAATGGTACAACAACGTGACATTAACCACGCAGAAAACCAGCAGTCACATTTACTATGAGAATTTGCTGCTGGGAGTAGCCCAAATTCGACAGCTAAAAGTGCGTAACGGTACCTGTTCCATCTACCCATATTTCCGGACCCTTTTAAAAGACTGTTACAGTGAGTATCGCTATCGAGCTGAAGACAGGGCAGCTTTTGGTCTAAAGAACGGGTCTGAGTAAGTATCCTACTTCAGATTTTCTTGTTGTTTCTTTTGGTTACACATGCATAAGAGATTCTCAAAATTAGAATGCTTTCAAATGGAACCAGACATGAAATGCAGAAATGGCTTTGAAAGCTCCACTGATGCCACCTAAATAAATCCTTAATGCTCCTATTCTTGAGTGAGTTAAGAACTGTGTATGCAATGAGCTGAGATTTTCACTTGTTTATGTTGAGACAAACCATGGATTTGGCCAACATTATAGACAGGAATTTGGCATGGAAAATTTACAGAGGAGGAACAGGAAGAACTGGAAACAGCAAGCCCGGTTCGGTGAAAGCACATGTTAATGGATCTCTCTCCACTAACATCTCTGAAGAAATATTCAATTATAAGAGGCCTGAATTTACATCACATGTTTATAAATTGTTTCATGCTAAAATGCCCTAGAAACAGATCCAAATGGACTGCTTCACACATTTCATTCAGCATTGATATAGCTAGAAAGAGCATGTGAACATTCCACATTCATAGTGAACTGTGCAAACCAGAGATGTTATATTTACCTATAAAGGTTTTAAGGTAATAAACCATCTAGTCCAATTTGGGCAAAGTCGAGATTCATAAGCAATTGCTGTTTTGTGATATTGTGGTCAATAGCCAAGTAAAATAAATGGGAATATTTTAAGGCCATATGTCTCATGCATACTTGATGTAGAAGAAAGAATTGTTTAAAGGTTTGTCTTAAAAACTTGGTTGTAAATGCAGTAGAACACAAGAACTAACAAGAAAAATTATACAATAGAAATTACAGCTTACTTCAGTTTCCTCAAGACAGGTGACTTTGCTTCCTGTTTCCAATAGGTGGAAATACCTCTCTGTGAATAGAAATTACAGCTTACTTCAGTCCACTTTCCTCAAGACAGGTGACTTTGTTTCCCATTTCCAATAGGTGGAAATACCTCTCTGTCTCCTCTTTATCCCCATGGTACTGGGGATACGTGGGCTTGTACAGCAACGGAGGATTCATATTCACTTTACCTAAGTCCAAGCAGGAGAGCGCGGAGAAGCTGGTGTCCCTCAGGCAGAACAGCTGGCTCACCAGAGGAACCAGGGTTGTGTTTATTGACTTCTCTATGTATAATGCTAACATAAACCTTTTCTGCATAATCAGGTGAGTACTTACCTTATTACACATGAAATACCATTTACTGAGGCATGGGGCTTCCTTAAGGACACAAGGAAAGGCTGTTCACCTCTGGCAGTGGAGGGAAAAGACAAGAATCTCAAACTCGGGCTATGGCAGGGAATACCTGCTCCTTTCTGAAACACCATTCCTTTAAAGATTTCAAGCAAACACAATCGCTGGGGTATCTAGAGAGCTGCTTGTTTTTCTCTCAGCTTTCTCTACTGCTAGTACTCTCTTGAGTCCTAAGATCTTCTAAGATCTTCGAGGCGCAGGAGTTCTCAAGTTGCCCATTTTGCAGAAGTATGGGTCTAGCTGGAGTCACAGCATTTATTAACATAGCAATAACTCATATTAGAATATTAGGCTGGGATGATTTAGAGCAATGGTGACCAACACCCGTCTCCCGTTTTTTTCCAGGTTGGTGGTAGAGTTCCCTGCAACAGGGGGTGCTCTCACCTCTTCACAGATCTACTCCGTGAAGCTCCTCAGATACGTCACGTATTACGATTACTTTCTGGCCTCTTGCGAAGTCACCTTTTGCTTGTTTGTCATTGCATTCATAATCCATGAAATCATAAAAATAGCGACACTTAAAGCAGAGTATTTCAGAAGTGCTTGGAACTGGCTGAACATACTATTGGTGGTGGTGAGCTGCACATCAACTCTTACCCCTGTGCTTGCAAACTTAGGGTAGTACTGGATAGCCAGCCAACGATGCAGGACAGCCCAAATCTTTTTCCTGGTTAGAGTTTAGTGTACTACAGAACTTTTCCTGGTACCATAGTGCATTAAGAGGCCATATGACCCACAGGGGTACACCAGACCTGAACACTTTTCCTGCCTTGCTGTCCGCTTGCCGTGGGGCTCCATGTCCTTCCCATCCTTTTGCGTTTCAGCTGCAATCTCTGCAGAGCTGGGAGGCACAAGCACAGAACAGGGTTAACAGTAAAATTAGAATGTATGTAGTGTTTGTGCTATTATCCAACGTTAGCATTGGGCAATTACAAATAATTCAGTCCTATTAAGCATCCTATTAAAAGTTTATGACCAAACGTAATAAGATCTGGTTCTTCAAACCTGATCAAGGGCTTCTTGAAATCAGTAAAGTCTTTCCTTTAAGGCAAATCTGCAAAGAGGGAGGTAACTGAACTTCAGTTTCACTGGCTTTTGCTTTTCTCCAGATATCAGTCCTTGCCATTGCTTTCAACATCTACCGCACTGTAGAAGTGTCCCTGTTAATGGAGGAGCTGCTGTCCAACTCGTCTGTGTATCCAGACTTTTACTTCCTTGCATCCTGGCAAGTCCATTACAACAACATGATTGCTGTCAATGTCTTCTTTGCTTGGATAAAGGTACAGATTCTGGTTCCCTTTTATTGTACTTGAGAATCACAGTAAAAACTCAGGTTTTATCCTTAGATGCACTGTTATCCCCCTCAGAGCCTGACATTCATAGCTTTCATAGCTCAGAGCTATGAAAACACGAGCTAGTTTTCAACTGCTGAGGAAGGTAAAATGCATCTGAACTTGATTCAGAAATGGTTCAGAAACCGCCCTTAATTTCATTCTCACTTGCAAATGGATTTGCTGCTCCCAGGGCAGATCAGGCAGCTTCTCCAAGATAAAAAGCTGCTCTTGTTCCTAATGGAATGCTCAGGGCCCAAACCATTCTACACGTTCCCGCATGTGCCACTACTTCTAATCTACTAGTATTAATGTAGTAGCACAACCATGTTGCTAATTAACATCTATCATTGAACAAGGACAGCGTAATTTTGTCCAGGACTTGGTTTAGATTCAAATCAAGGGAGACAGCTCTTCACCAACTCAGCCCTCCAGGGAATCCTCGGATGCAGGGGCTGGTGTGTCACACACGTCTCCTTGACCGGAGGGCCACATCTGCCAGAGCAGATTACACATCCCAGCACCAGGAAGGACCTGCTCACACACAATTAGCTTCAGCAATTGAATTATTCACCCTGCAGAACCTCTTCTCCAGAAACACACCCAAGCTCAGGGCTCCTTACAGATTCATGCCACTAATATCTGGCACACAACTCATTTCCGGATAAGCTTTAACCTGCAAATTACAGTTACAGATGACATTCCAGAAATTCTGCTAAAATATTGTATATTTTGATCTTTCAGTAGCATCTTTTTCTTTTTTCTTTTTTTTTCCAGATATTTAAATACGTCAGCTTTAACAAAACGATGACTCAACTGTCCTCCACTTTATCCCGCTGTGCCAAGGACATCATTGGATTTGCCATCATGTTCTTTATCATCTTTTTTGCATATGCACAGTTAGGCTATCTGGTCTTCGGGTCGCAAGTTGATGAGTTTTCTACATTTCAAAACTGCATGTATGCACCTTTCTAAACCTTTTGCTACAAAGACCCCAGTCCCTGCAAGTCCAAAGAGTCTCACCTAGGGAGAACTTTAAAAGTACAAGTCTATGTTGCCATTTTGAATGCACCACTGCTGGGTGTGCACTGCAGCTCCCTGCTCGCCTACAGCAGAGGGAAGTGCTCAAGACCCAGCTGGAATCTGAGCTGTTCTAGGAAACATCCAGCTGCACAACTGAGACCTCCCAAATCCCATGTAGCCACATTGCTTTTCTCCCCATTTTTTTTTTTCCAGATACTCGCTGTAGCAACAGCATCAGGTCAGTTCCAGCTGGCACTTGGAGTTGGGTTTGCTGATCCCTGCACCTTGGAGCAGCTCTACCTGTCACCCTTGGTGCACGCTCTGGTCTGAGCTGTGACCGTTTCACAGAAAAGCTGCTAGGGAGTCACTGAGAGAAATGGACTTGAGTCCACGTTTAGCATCATCTTGGCACTGCTTTGCTCCCTGCACCTTCTCTTTGGGTCATGCTCCCTATGGCAGGAGCCAATCTATGAAAGGAGTTTTGCAGTTATTTGCCTGGGGTCTGTCCATTCTGTCTGTTCCAACAGTCTAGAGCTCAATACAGCATGTCAAAAAGGTAGAGATATTTCTTTAATTTATCAGACTAGCAGCAGCTTTCTAATGTAAAATTAATGCACTCTTAAGCATAAAATTACCTTTCATTTTGGATCTACGTGGATGTGACATAGATCTGAGTGGCTGCAATGCAAAGGAATGAAGAAATGCACATTTATCTTACCTGAGTATAAAATCCCCAACATAGGAACCTATGCCATTACCTTCTGTAATGGCAGATGATGTGGGATCCTGGAGCTCGAACAAAAGGGAAATCATTTTTTTTAAATTAAGAACCAAGGGGTTTATCCACAATGAAAGCATCTTCAGTTCTGTAAGACATTTTAAAAGTCTTCTGCACTTTCAAATTCTCATATGTATCATGAACTCCCCACTGACCACGTTCTGCTCATGATCTCGGGGTCTCAGGTAACAGCGAATCAGCCTCTTCCAGTTACATTCAGTATGGTTCCTTGTTTTGTAATGCTTAAAAATCTGCTGTGTAGGAGAAGCTAAAAATCACATAATTCTTGCCTTTTTACTCCCAGCTTCACGCAGTTCCGCATTGTGCTGGGAGATTTCAACTTTGCAACTATAGAAGAAGCAAACAGCATCCTCGGGCCCATTTACTTCATCACATTTGTGTTCTCTGTGTTCTTCGTGTTGCTGGTAGGTGGCATCTCAACATCCCATAAGCAGCAGAGATGTCTGGGGCCTTCTGCTGTGCAGTGCCCCAAGGAAGCATTTCCCCCCTGAGAAAAACCCTTTGCCCTTAACACCCACTGTCCCGGGCAGGCAGGGATGGTCTGGGCTCTTGGGCACGAGTTGACCCAGCCCAGACGTTACCCAGCAGCATTAAGGCAAGGCTCTATCCAAGGGAGTCCCAGTCCCAGCATAGCACCGTGTTAATCCAGTCCTCAGCTCTCCCTTTCTCCCAACAGCCCCAAAATAATCGTAGCTCCCACATATTTTCTCTGCAAATTGCATTGATATAACTGCATCCTTCCTGTGCAGAACATGTTTCTGGCTATTATAAATGACACCTATTCAGAAGTCAAGGCAGATTTTGCAGCGATACCAAGTCAAGAATTTGCCATCAGTGACTTCCTTAGCCAGGTAAGCACATGCTTCTGTCACCACCTCCTTTCATCCAACACAGCAGGAAGTCTATTGCTATATCCCTAGCAAAGGGCCTTAAATTAACTAGGGCCATAACCAGTTAAGAACACCCAGCGTTTGATTTTTTGGATCCAGTGTTACACACAGTCCTATCAAAAGGGTAAGAGGCTGCTTGCACTGGTGCGGCTAGGAGAAGAGAGGGGCAGGGAATGGGGATCACCCCCTGCTCAAGCTGATGCAGATTTTTAAATGCAGACCAAGGGCAAAGCTCAACTGGAGAGGCAGTGAGAGGAGGACAGAGACGGTGGGAGTTATACAGCTTTGGGAGCTTTATTACCAGCATAGCTTAATTTTCATTCTGTCTTTAGTCCAGATTTTTCAACCTCATCTCTTCAGCTAAAGGCTTATAAAATTCAGAAAATAGGCATCTAAGAAAGTCTGGGAAGACCCGACAGTAGAACTGCCTCTCCTTAACATCCCAATGAGTTAAGGCCATTTTTATGTGCCAGAAAGGGACACAATGAGGGAATAAAACTTTCCCTGACTTCTCACTTCTGCTTGAAATTACAACCACCCTCCTCCTTTCCTGCCAAAGGCTCATGCCAAGCTCAGGCTGTGGCACACAGATCACTCGGGAGATCTGAGACACCTGTATGTTCAGACTGCACTTGTTGGGGGGTCTGTCTGCCTTGGCAGCCCCGGAGAGCAGGGCTGGCACCTTGATCTGCTTCCAGGTTCTCCATAGGTTTACATGCATCACACAGACGAGTTAAACCAACAGCTCTCATGAGGGAAGGTGGTGGGAGTGCCTGGCCAGCAACAGTTAAAGACTTGGTTCAACAGCAGAACCACCAGCTTAGGCACCAGCTTAGGTTCCCCTACCCAAGCTCAGCTCCTTACTGAACTTCTGCAAGAATAAACATCAAAAAAGAAAAAAATATCCTTACTGGAATTGCTCAGATATGACTTGCAAGGATTTTGTGACATTTGGGGGAATTGTGCTCGATTGCCAAAACATGACGCTGCCAGCGGGCTCCTCACCTCCAAGTGTGGAAACCTGCCTGGTGAAGCACCCAGCTCGCTTAACCCGCTCTGCTTGCCCTGTGCCAGGCCCTGGTCAAGCTCAAGCTGAAGAGGATGGAGACGGACATGAGGGTGGAAGAAGCGAGCCTGGGGAGCGCGAGGAGGTAGGATCCCGTCCAGGCTCCCGAGCCGGCGGCTGCTCCGTGCACTGGGCACGCACCAGTTCTCACAGGGCTTCTGTCTGTGTCCGTGGCAAGCACTGAATCCGCAACCACTGCGAGAAGAGAAATGCACAGGCTTTCCAAGGAGAGCACTGCGGATGAAAAGGTGGGATTCATCCTTCCCTCTTCCTGGAAGCTGCTGGCTGCACTTCTAAAGTTGAGAAATACAAAAGGAGGCTCAGTTGTACCTACCCTTATTACAAAAGCTATTTCACCATGGAATGCTATTTTTAACAACACAGAATAGCATTCAAACTAGACCTAAAAATAATCACTAACGATGCCCCGAAGTTCAAATGAAAGGGTGCCCAGGCTCTGTTCAGATGAGCTCATGCACTGTGAAAGCAGAGCTGGCAGCAGGTTGGGGTCAGCGTGCTTTAACAGTGATATCAAGTTGTGAGTTAGACATTAGCCCAAATGCTAAACTAAAATGGAAAATAAGAATTGCTTTAAAGCATCCTTTTGGGTCATGAGTCCTGTTTGCAGCAGAGAGCAAAAAAACTTCTAAGTAAACGAGAAGCTGCTTAGTAGCCCCATAAGCCAAGCTAACCCACTGCAAATACCTCTAAAACATCTATTAAAAAGTGTTTTTTTCCCCATGTCTTTCTCCATGAAAGTGTAGCAGGTGCCCAAATAAGCCACACTAGCCTTTTCTGTGCATTTTGTTGTTGTTGTTTTTGTTTCCTGATCCCTCTGGTGTTGCACAGGGCTACCCGAAGCCAGCACAGCTACACAAATGGAAGGAGAACTTTCGCCGGAAGCCTCCGTCGAGGGAGGACCTCAGCTCCGTCTCCTCTCAGGGCTCCGTCTCCCCCGAGGACTTTCAGGAGTAAGTTCTTGTTCTTGCACCCCCTCCCCAGCCCCGGGGGGCTGCAGACACTGCCTTACCCACAGTGAGAGACAGCCTGAGACCCCAGAGATGAAAAGGCAGGAGTTAAAGTCAGTAATTTTGAGCTTTTTAAGTGCTTTTATACTGTCTGACAGTGACTGCACTGAGAGAGAAGGTGGAAGCAGAAAAGATGTTTAGTAAAGCAGCTCACAAGGAGATTAGCCAAAAAGCAAGGGCAGGGCTGGAATTTGAGAATATTTCCACTCTTGCAGAACGACCCCTTGTCCCATTGGGGCAGAGAGACTGAAAAACCCTTGTGCTTGTGAAGGGGTAGTTCAGGACCAGACCCCTGGGAGCTGTCACAGTTCCCATGAGCAAACAGGAAGGCTAACAAGTAGCAGTTTACATCCTCCTACTGCCCTGTCTCAAGGATTTGTTGCTGTATTTTTGTGGCCTAGGCTTTTCAGGTACACTGCTGAGTTGGAGAAGGAATTAGATGGCGTTAACAAAAAACTCCATAGAATTATGAAAAAAGGTAACCGCTGAAGGTCACTTCCAACAAGGTCACAAGGTAAAAGGGATGAGCTCGTCTGCTGACAGAGGTGTCCATATCCTTCATGCAATTGAAATCCAAGTCAAGAAAAAGCAGTTCTCCCCCATCTTTCCCAATTCTGCACAAAAGCAGCAGGAACCTCAATAAAAGCAATCTCTGATCCCTCACAACCTTTTCCGTGCGGGTTTCTGGGGGTTTTTCCAGCTCTGACAAAAACTCACCGCCTTTGCCAGAGTTCTGGGCAGGAATCTCACCCCAGGCCTCGATGCCGTTTGCTCCTTGGGGCTCCTTTGGGGAGCACCGACACTGCTGCTCCTGGTGCCAGGAGAGCAGGGCAGAGGCAGCTCCTGGGCCTGCTCCCTTCCCTCCTCTCCATCTCCAGCCCAAATCTATTTCAGTGCAAACCCCAAGCACTAATCAGAGCTCAAAACGTGGTTCATTAGCCCAGACCTCTCCAGACTGAGGTGTTTTTTTTTTTTTTTCCTCCTCCCCTGAAAGTACATCTGCTGCCAGGTATTTTTCAACATCTCTTGTTCTGCTCTTTGTTCTCACACCTCTCCAGGAAAAATCCAGCCCTTCTTCCAGGATTTTTTTTTTTTTTTCATCCAGGCCTTAATAACTGGAACCACTAGAGGGCATTTGCTTCACCCCTGCACCAACACTAATTCTGAGAATTATTCCTCGTTCCATTTCTGCTCCCCTGGCAACCCTGGACCTTCCTGAGCCCAGCAGCACCCGCCACTTTGCTCTGCCACTTCCCAGACCACATTTCCATCCCTGCCAGCCTCGTACGGGTCATGCAGCAACTGCTTGGCCACAGGGCAATACATTGTACAGGTTTAAAGAATAAATCCCCTTGCCAAACACATCAGGCTGATGAGAAGGATGCTCTTTACTTTGTAGGGCAGCTGTCTTGCTGGAACAGCAGCCCTCAGACAGCACACAGGGTTCCCCACTGCCACATTTATCCCTGGAAACAACAGAAGATAAATCAGGTGTTAAATCTGCTCACATGTGGCCATTAAAAACTGCTGTTTGCTGCAGCCGAGATACAGGAGGAATAAGACCCATGTCCAAACGCTGTGCGAATGCGCCCGGAGGAAACGAGGGGCCGTCGCCCACGGGCTGCACCCGCAGTTCTGCTGCTGCCGTCTCAGCGCGTGACAACCCCCAGCCCCAAAGCATCGGTGCTTAGGCCTCCGTCGGTGCTTGGGCCTCACTTCCCTGGCAAGACCCTAGTCCTGTGCACCAAAGCAGCCCAAGAAAGTCTCTTCAGAGAGGTAGAACCTGGACTGCTGTAGCTTGGTTCTGTCTGTCTTGGACAGGGAACCTCTGTGAATTTTTGCCTCGCTCCCTGCAACCCTTTCCCATCCATTTTGGTTAACCACCTTCAGCACTTTCCTTTCATTGAAGTCTTTCTTCAGTTTTAAAACACATTGATTAAGCAGCTCCCACCAGCCCTCTGCTCAAAAGCTCTGTCTGCTCCATTAACACGACTGCAGCAAGTTTCGTGTGTAAAACGGTGCTATCTCAGTCTTGGACAGGGAACCTCCGTGAATTTTTGCCTCGCTCCCCGCAACCCTTTCCCATCCATTTTGATTATCCACCTTCAGCACTGGGCACTTTCCTTTCATTGCAGTCTTTCTTCAGTTTTAAAACACATTGATTAAGCAGCTTCCACCAGCCCTCTGCTCGAAAGCTCTGTCTGCTCCATTAACACGACTGCAGCAAGTTTCGTGTGTAAATAGCCATAAAGAAAGAGGAGTGGAGAACAGATGTGCACAAGACCTCGGTCATTCCTCAAGTCTTGTAACATGTTTGTTTCTTCCCCATCTGGAAAGAAAATCCCAGTATCTGAGCTTGCACATACTAGGGACCAACATTCAGTCTTGCCATTTACACAAGTTGGCTGATCAGAGGGCAGGTTATTCTGTCCCAAGCCTAAAGGACGCACTAATGGCTGCCTCCTCGCTCTCCTCTCCCTGCTGTTCCTCCATTGCTTCGTTTTGATTCCCTCTATCCCTCCCCCTTACCTGCGGTCATGCGCTCTCAAGCAGCCCCTCCATCTTCAGCAATTCCTGTCCTCTGCCAGGCCTCACGCTGAAGAAGCAGTCACACAAAATACAGCAGAGCAGCTGCTGTAAAGAGCTAAATCATTCATATGATCTTATGCCAGTATACAATGAAAAAAAAAAAGTTCGGTCCAAACGAAAAGCATCCTCCTGTGTTTCCAAGATCATGGGCAGTGGCAGTGTTCCCTGGCCATGAACTGCTCCACGTGCCATTGACTAAGAGATTGCTACGGACACAGAGACGCAGTGAAATACCGCCCAGCAGCCAAGGCCGTTGCAGCCGCGGGCCTGCAGCTGCGGAGCCCACGGAGCGACGCGCGCGGCCCGGCAGCGACGGGCGCAGCCAGCGCCTTGAGGAGACGGAACTGGAGGAAAAAGCACCATGAGAAACACAAATATGACAATAAAGGTTAAGGTACTTTTATTATAAAAGTCTATACAATGAGCACCAGACATAGCAATGCAATTATATCTGGCTTAGTTATATATATTCCATATCTATATATCCATATAGATATATAGGTTTTGCTTTTACCAAAGTAAAACTGTTATATCACAAAATGCCTAGTTCTACCATTTATTTATTGCTCAACAAGGATGGCACAAAACACACTCGTAGCGTAACTGTTGCCATGCTTATCTACGATACTGAATAAACAGCCAAACACCGCATAACAAACACAAAGCAGCTGTTAATTCTGAATTGGAACCAGTCTGATCACTCACTCACTTATAAAAATATTGGAATCATATAGATTTAAGCATTATAAAGGAGGAATATATTATTTAAAACATTTAAATAGTGCATATTGACATTTTGCATGTGGTATATAAAACACAAACATTCATGTACAACACTATACAGTACGCATTAGGTTCAATGTTCGGATACACCCGTGTCTGCAGACCAATAGAAAAGTTAACTGAGGTGTACATTGCACAATGGAACTGAATAAAAGTGATAAATGGTCTCAAGACTAGTTTAACCTCATAATTAAGGTCCCAAATCATTTTGCTGTTTAAAAAAAAGGAAAAAATAAAAAGGCATACCACCAGTGCTCAATAGTTTTAGTGCTTTTTTTTTCGGATTTAAAAAAAAAAACATGCCCACAAGCAGAGTAAAACAAAACAAGGAGTATTCTATAGTACACAGATGAAATCTGAGCACTAGAAATTCTACTATCAACCTATTTCATATGCTTCATGACAGAACAGCAAGCCTATGAGGTTACATGCTAGCCACGTCTTACTTCGTGAGAAAGTTCATTTTTGGTCTTTCATAAAGCAGTGTGAATAAAAGCTGTGCTGACATTAGCCAGTCATAAAAACATGCAGTGAGAGTAGGTGCATGCAAAACATGACCACAATCAAACTGATGTATTGAAGAAAAAAATTGGAGAAAGCACCAGTTAAAATTAACACTTAGATTTTGCCAGATCAGAAACAGCTGCTGATGGCTGTTGTAGCGCACAAAGCTAGCGAAATCATCGTTCAGCACAGCAGATGTGATCATCAAAACATTATTTAGTTTCAGCTTTGAAGCTAAATCATGCAAGGCCCATAAACTGTTTTGCTTACATCATAAAGGTTAGATCACTTAGTTTTATTCTCCAACCGTGTAACAAAATCATGATAAACAGCAGTGATTCCCTCCCTCACAACTGACACAGTTCACCTTATGGTGCACATCAGCTACACTGATTTTAGCCCTTGGTACCATGCTCGTTTCACGTACAGTGTAATTTTAACTGACCCACGCCAGGACTTTTCTGCTGGAGCTGTGCAAGTCTGAGCACCGGTCACATATCCCATACACCGAAATGTTCATTATGTTCCTCAAGTCTTCTCAAAGTGGAGATGCAGTATCCAATTCAGGCAAAACACTGTGTCACCACCAGCTGATAAAGAATAACTGGTAAAATGGTATAACGAGCAACAGTAACGTAAGTCCTGTAGGCAGCATGTGATATAACTTTTGAGTTTTCCAAGTTTTAAAAGACACTAAGCAAGGTCACTTTCTGGTTCGTCCACTGTCACCTTTATCAAGGAGGATACGTGACCACTATGTAGCAAAATCCACAGATGTTAATTATTACTGTGTGATAGATGCAATTTAGAATACCAAAAATTAAAGTTGTTTCACAACAGTCCTTTGAAAGGAATTTCAGTCCAGTTAAGTGTCCCAAGAAAAAGAGCTATGTATTTAATTTGCTGACCTTTTTCCCCATAATAAAAAACAAGCAACAAGAATAGTTCAGTGTAGGACTATGATATGGGTAATTTCTTCAATAACACAAAAGGTTGGTAATACCAAAAGTCTCAAAGCTCTCGAACGCTAAGGAACAAAATGCTATAGTCTTTTGGGAACAAGATGCATACGTAATACAAAATTTTGATGGAAACTGTGTTTGCTCAAGTTGGATAGAGCAGTCTCGAACTTAGAAATCTTATTCTCACTCTAGACAGGACCTACTTACCCTTCAAACTGGTTATAGTGGCACCACAATAAAGTGCACAAACTGGATTCTTTCAATAGTGCATGACAAATGAACACAAGTACCCAATAAGTACAATGGTAGCATAAGGAAATATTATGTTATTCAATGTTTTGGAGGAACATAATTTATATTGATTTTGAAGAGTCTTGTTTGCTGATAAGGACTTCTAGCAGCCTAAGTTTGGCTTTAATTTTCTTGTACTCCCTGTACTCATCAAGCATTGGAACTCGGTCTTCTTTCTGTATGTTCCTGTAAAAAGAAGCACACCTGAGTTTCAAAAAGATCCTACATATTGCAGAAAGTCAAACACAACAAGATGTCTAAAATAACTAAACAAATGAAAACAAACAATCTATCTTTCTGCTGAACAAACCTGCCGTTCTGTTGATAAAACTCCTCTTCAAATTCTCGTAAAGTCTTGCG